TTTGTAATTCGAGAATTTAAAATGCAAAAAATAAAAAATTGTGATAACAAAAAATTAGTCGAAGGTAAATAATTTCTGATTTTTCGAAAAATAATAAGATTTGATTTTGCAATTTTTTTTATGATAACCTTTAGATATAAGTTAAAATAAAGATTAGTATTAATAATAACAGTTTTCTTAAATTTTTTGGGAAGAGATAAACGCATAAATTTTGATTAACGATTTACCGTCCCAAATGCGGACAGAGGGCAGACAGGCAGACGGAAACGAGAGACCTAAGTTTTCGTATTCTAGGGCCATGAAGTGTCAAAAAAACAAAAACACCTCTGATGACAAATCTGATTTATGAAATTAAAACCAGGCCACAACCTTGGTTGCGATAATTCCAACTTTCCGATTTTTCAATTTTTTGTTTTTTCAATTTTAAATTTTTCTGTCTCTCGAAATTTCAGTTTATCGTTTCTTTAATTTTTGATTTGCGATTTTTCTAAATTCTAAAAATTTAAATTTCTAAATTTAAAATATGTATCTAATCATTAAAGTTAAAAAAAAACACTTTTTCAATTTGATTTTTAATTCATTGATTCGAATGAAAAAACGAAAAAGTATAAAATGAAAAGTCTGAAAAATCTAAAAAGTGGAAATCAAGAAGTTAAAAAATTGAAGAAACAAAGATTAAAAATTGAGAGAATCCAAAATCGAAAAAAATGCAAAATATAATATAACGAAATATTGTAAAATATTGAAAATTAAAGAAAATCGGATAATCAGAAATCCAAAAATTGCAAAATTTAGAAATTTAAAAATTGGAAGGTCCGCGGAATGAAAAATCAAAGATTAAAACTTTGAAACATCGAATAAACGAAAAATTATAGGAAGATTGAAAAAGTAAAAAAATGAAAATGAAAATAAAAACATCCGAAAAATGAAAAATAAAAATCAAGAACTTGAAAAATTGAGGAAACGAAAAGATGAAAAATTGAAAAAATTAAAGCTATCTTTTAGTTTTTTCAATTTTTAGATTTTGCAGTTTTTCGATTTTTCAATGTTCCGACTATTTCTGTAGTTTTCATTTTACATATGTGTCTAATAATAATAAAATAATTATAATTTTAAATTTTTTCCACTTGTTCAATGTTATGATTTTAGAATGTTTCTATTTTTCAATTATTGGATTTTAAAAATTTTCTAATTTTTTAATTTCTTAGTTTTTCAATTTTAGATTTTTCAGTCTCTCGATTTTTCAATTTTACATTTCTTTAATTTTTGATTTGTGATTTATCTAGTTTTCATTTTAAATATGTATCAAATAAAAATTACAATTTTTTAAATTTTCGATTTTTCAATTTTTGAATTATAATTCTTCAATTTTTCGAATTTTCAATATTAGTTTTTTGGCATTCGATAATTTTTCGATTGGGTTCCCAATTTTTCTATTCAATTAGTATTTTCTCCTTTCCAATTTTTCGATTCATTAATTTTTTTCGATTTCTATTTTTTCAAAATTGTAAAACTGAAAAATCAAAAATGAAAAAAGTAAAAAGTATACAGTCAAAATTTTGAAAAATCTTGAAAAGAACTTGAAAAATTGAAGAAAGGAAAAATTTACAAATAGAGATATTCCAAAATCGAAAAAACGAAATATTGTAAAATCGAAATATTGAAAATGAAAGAAAATCGGGTAATTGGAAATCCAAAAATTTCAAAATTGAAAAATTTACAAATTGGAACCGAAAAATTATAAAATCGAAAGAAACACTGAAAAATAAAGAAAACGATAAACGAAAAATTGTGATATAAAATCGAAAAATAAAATTGGATCTCTAATTTTTCATTTTTAAAATTTTTTTATCAATTTTTGGTTTCGTTTTTTTATTTTCTTTATTTATACAATTTCTCTATTTTCAATGTGCTACTTTATAGTTTTTTGTTTTTTCAATTTAAATTTGTACAATTTTTCGTTTCACAATTTTTCATTTCTTTGTTTCGGCAATTTTACGATGTTTCTTTTCGAGTTTTCATTTTTCAATTTTTTGTTTTCCTATTTACCAACTTTTGGATGTTTCAGTTTTTAGACTTTGCAACTTTTCGATTTGCAATTTTTCGTTCCGGTTTTTTATTTATCTTACTTTTAACAATTTTTCTATTTTTCAATTATCCTATTTTTTCAATTTCAGTTTTTCCAATTTCAATATTTTTAATTTTGTTTTTTTTTTGTTTCTTCAGTTTTACGACATGTATCTCATTGAGTTTTCATTTTTAATTTTTTTAATTTTCAAATTTTCCAATTTTCGACTTTTAGCTTATGCAATACCTATTTCGATTTACAAATTCACCAGTTTTTAATTTTTACTTTTTATTATTGACTTGCGATTTATCTAGTTTTCGTTTTAAATATATTTCTAATAATAAATTATAATTTTTAAAATTATGGCTTTTTCAATTTTACGATTTTAGAATTTTTCAATTTTTAAATTATTGAATTTTAAAACTTTTTCATTTATTCGATTTTTCAATGATTGAATTATGATTCTTCAATGTTTCCATTTTTCAATGTTAGTTTTTTGACATTCGATAATTTTTCGATTGGGTTCCCAATTTTTCTATTCAATTAGTTTTTTCTTCTTTCCAATTTTTCGATTCATTAATTTTTTTCGTTTTCCAGTTTTTCAAAATTGTAAAATCGAAAAATCAAAAATGAAAAAACTAAAAAGTATAAAGTGAAAATTCTGAAAAATCTAAAAAACTAAAATGAAGAACTTGAAAAATTGAAGAAAGGAAAAATTGACAAATAGAGATATTCTAAAATCGAAAAAACGAAATATTGTAAAATCGAAATATTGAAAATGAAAGAAAATCGGGTAATTGGAAATCCAAAAATTCCAAAATTGAAAAGTTCACAAATTGGAAGGTCGACGAAATGAAAAAAACACACTGAAACTTTGAAAAATTGACCAACCGAAAAATTATAAAATCGAAAGAAACACTGAAAAATAAAGAAAACCAAAAACGAAAAATTGTGATATAAGATCGAAAAATGAAATTGATTATTTTTTCTATTTTTCGATCTTTCACTGTTACAGTTTTACAATTTTTGAGATTCCAATTTTTCGATTCGATTCGTTTTTTCTTCTTTCCAGTTCTTCGATTTATTTTGTTTTTTAAAATTTCAGCGTTTCAATATTTCATTTTTTCTTTTATCAGTTCTTCGATATGCAATTTTTCGGTTTTCCATTTTTTCGAATTTACAATTTTTCGAGTTTTCTATTTTGAAATTTTCAATTTTTTGGATCTCTAATTTTTCATTTTTAAAATTTTTTTGTTATCAATTTTTGGTTTCGTTGTTTTATTTTCTTTATTTATACAATTTCTCCATTTTTAATGTCCTACTTTATAATTTTTTGTTTTCTCAATTGAAATTTGTACAATTTTTCGTTTCACAATTTTTCATTTCTTTGTTTCGGCAATTTTACGATGTTTCTTTTCGAGTTTTCATTTTTCAATTTTTTGTTTTCCGATTTACCAACTTTTGGATGTTTCAGTTTTTAGATTTTGCAAATTTTCGATTTGCAATTTTTCGTTCCGGTTTTTTATTTATCTTACTTTTAACAATTTTTCTATTTTTCAATTATCCTATTTTTTCAATTTCAGTTTTTCCAATTTCAATATTTTTAATTTTGTTTTTTTTTTGTTTCTTCAGTTTTACGACATGTATCTCATTGAGTTTTCATTTTTACTTTTTTTAACTTTCAAATTTTCCAATTTTCGACTTTTAGCTTATGCAATATTTCGATTTACAATTTCACCAGTTTTTAATTTTTACTTTTTATTATTGACTTGCGATTTATCTAGTTTTCGTTTTAAATATATTTCTAATAAAAAATTATAATTTTTAAAATTATCGCTTTTTCAATTTTACGATTTTAGAATGTTTCAATTTTTAAATTATTGGATTTTGAAACTTTTTCACTTATTCGATTTTTCAATGTAAGTTTTTCGACATTCGATAATTTTTCAATTGGGTTTCCAATTTTTTTTAGTTTTGTCTTCTTTCCAATTTTTCAATTCATTAATTTTTCTCGATTTCTAGTTTTTCAAAATTGTACAAGTGAAAAATCAAAAATGAAAAACGAAAAAGTATAAAGTGAAAACTCTGAAAAATCTAAAAACTCGACGTCAAGAACTTGAACAACGGAAGAAAGGAAAAATTGAAAAATAGAGATACCCTAAAATCGAAAAACGGAATATTGTAAAGTCGAAATATTGAAAATTAACGAAAAGCGGGTAATTGGAAACCCAAAAATTGCAAAATTAAAAACTTTTAAAATTGGAAGGTCGACGAAATGAAAAACAGTGACCGAAACTTTGAAAAATTGAGCAATTCAAAAATTATAAAATCGAAAAAAACACTGAAAAAACAAAGAAAATGAAAAACGAAAAATTGGGAACCCTAAAAATTGAAAAAATAAAAAATTTGTAATTCGAAAATTGAAAAAATGAAAAATTATGAAACCGAAATGAATGAAAATGCAAAAAACAAAAAATTGTGACATCAAAACATCAAAACAACTAATGTCGAAGATAAATAAATTCAGATTTTTCGAAAAATTATAAGATTTGATTTTGCAATTTTTTTTATGATAACCCTTAGATATAAGTTAAAATAAAGATTAGTATTAATAATAACAGTATTCTTAAATTTTTTGGGAAGAGATAAACGAATAAATTTTGACTAACGATTTACCGTCGCAAACGCGGACAGACGGCAGACAGGCAGACGGAAACGAGAGACCTAAGTTTTCCTATTCTAGGGCCATGAAGCGTCAAAAAAACAAAAACACCTCTGATGACAAATCTGATTTATTAAATTAAAACCAGGCCACAACCTTGGTTGCGATAATTCGTTACGTTTAGAGGTCAAACTTCTTCGCATTTATAGATAACCCAAACGTGATCGATCCCCGAATTTTTATTAATTTGTACCCGATCTCCGTCAAGTACGTGCGTGCAAAATGTCTTTCTATTTCTGGGTCGACTTTACCATCCTTCTGATTACCCTCACAGCAGCCCTTTATTTCTACTCCACACGAAAATTCAACCACTGGAAGAAGAAAAAAGTGCCATTTATCCCTCCCGTTCCCCTTTTTGGCAGCGCTTTTGACGTCTTCACCCTCAGGCAAAACATCGGGGACTTTACCCGAAAAATCTACGAAAGCACTGTTCAACCCTACGTGGGTTTCTTCATCTGTGATGAACCCTATCTTCTGGTTCGAGATCCAGAATTAGTGAAAAATATTCTAGTGAAAGATTTTGACGTGTTTAGCAACCGGAGCGTGTTCGAGAACAAAAAGGATGACCCGATGGGGGCTCATATTCTGTTTCTTCTGAAAACACCCGACTGGAGGAACATGAGGCGCAAATTGTCTCCTGCTTTTAGTTCGGGGAAGATGAAGAACATGTACCCTTTGATGGGGGTTTCGGGGAAGGAAATGGTCGAGTATTTGGTGGAACAAAGTAAAAGTAACCCGGTGATTGATAGTCGAGAGGTGGCAGCTAAATATACCACGGATGTTATTAGTTCTACTTCGTTTGGAATCAACGCTAATTCCTTCAAGTATGAAGATTCGGAGTTTAGGGCTGTGTCCAGGAGGGTGTTCAATTGGGCGATTTGGGAGAGGGCCATTTCGACTTCGTTTCACTTCGTGGCGCCAAGTTTGGTCAAGTTGTTTAAGATGAGGTTTGTGGATAAGGCGTCTAGTGATTTTTTGAGGGAGGTTTTCTGGAGGATGATGAACGAGAGGCAAGAGAAGAAGTTCGTGAGGAACGATCTTCTGGATATTTTGATCGAGTTGAAGAAGCAGGAAAATATTGACGATCCGTACAAGTTGGGTGAGTTTTCTCAAGCTGAAATTTCTTCAGTTGGACTAACGATTTTTCTCAGAGGGAGATAAATTGGTGGCTCAAGCTACCCAGTTCTTTATAGCGGGATTTGAAACCTCAAGCTCGACAATATCATTCACCTTATACGAACTGGCAGTGAATAAAGACTTCCAGAATAAAGCAAGAGAAGAAATTAAGGAGGTTATAAAGAAACACGGCGATATTTCCTACGATTCGCTGAAAGACATGCAATATGTTGACTGGTGCATCAAAGGTAACACAACAAACTTTTTCTTTTAACAAAATTTTCACTTTTTACATTTATTTTATTATTTTCCATAATCAGAGATTCTAATCTTCGTTAAAATTTGCATACCTAGTTAGATTTTTTCCTAAAAATTCGGAAGAAAAATCGAAAATTCGTAAAATGTTGAAATCGAAAAGCCGAAAATTCCAGTCGAAAATTGAAGAAATCCTGAAATCAAAAAATCGAAAAGTAAGTCCAAAAATTAAGAAATCGCAAAATCGAAAAACTGAAAAATTGAAAAATCGATTATCGAAAAATTGAATAATTGTATAGTCAAAAAATTGAACAATTAGAAAATCTCAGGTTGAGAAATCTAAAAATCAAAAACTGATAAGTCGAAAAGTGGAAAAATTTAAAAAGTCAAAAAACGGAAAATTTGAAAAATCGAGAAATCGCAGTCGGAAAATTGAAAATTCGAAAACGAAAAATCAAAAAATGTATAATTCAAAAAGTCGATAAATTGAAAAATCGAAAACCTGAAAAATCGAAAAATAGAGAACTCCAGAAATCGAACAGTCGATTAAACGCTAAGTCGAAAAGTAGACAAATTGAAAAATCGAAAAATCGAATTATCGAAAAATCTAGAGATCGAAATTTAAGAATTAAAAAATCGGAAAACTGAAAAGTCCCGAAACTGAAATATCAAAAAATCAAAAATCGAGAATACGAAATATCTAAAAATCGAAAAACAGAGACATCAAAAAATTGATAAATCGAAAAATCGCACTCAGAAAATTGAAAATCCAGAAATGGAAAAATTGAGAAATCTGAAATTTTAAGTCGAAAAATAGAAAAATCGAAAAAGCGGAAAATCGAAAATTCGAAAAATGTTGAAATCGAAAAGCAGAAAATTCAAGTCGAAAACTGGAGAAATCGTGGAATCAAAAAACCGAAAAGTAAGTCAAATAATTAAAAAATCGTAAAATTGAAAATTTGAGAATTCGGGAATCCGGAAATAGCAAAGTCGGTAAGTCGAAAAATGGAGAAATCGAAAGATAGAAAATTCGAAAAACTTAAAAATTGGAAAATCGATTATTGAAAAATTGAATAATTGAAAAGTCAAAAAATTGAACAATCAGAAATCTGAAGTCGAAAAATCGAAAAATCGAAAAATCAAAAACTGAAAAGTCGAAAGGTGGAGAATCTGAAAAATTTAAAAATAATAAATTTAAAAAATCAAAATACTGAAAAATGAAGAAATCTAAAAATCGGGAAATCAAAAAGTCAACAAATTGAGAATACGAAAAATCCAAAAATCGCATTTGGAAATTTGAAAATCCCTAAAACGAAAAATAAAAAAATTTAAAATTTGAAAAGTTGATGAATTGAAAAATCGAAAGCCTGAAAAATGGAAAAATCGAAAAATAGAGAACTACAGAAATTAAACCGTCGATGAATCGCGAAGTTGAAAAGTTGATAAATCGAAAAACCGAAAAATCTAGAAATTGAAAATCAAGATTGGAAATATCCGAAAACTGAAAAATCTCGAATGAAAATCCAGAAATAGCACTAATTGAGAAATCTGAAAAGTCTAAAATTTGAGAAATCGGGAAATCAAAAAATCGAAAAAATGAAAAGTCGCAAAAATTTTGAAAGTCGAAAACTTGAATGGTCGACAAGTCGAAAAATCTAATTGTATTGAATTTAAAAAATTGGAAAATTGAAGTTGAAAAACTGAAAAACTGAAACATCGGGAAATCGAAATGTCAAAAAATGGGGAAACCGAAAAATAGAAATCACATTAGGAAATGAAAATCCCGAAAACGAAGAATCGAAAATTTCAAATTTTAAAGATCGATAAATTGAAAAATTGAAAAACCGAAAAATTAAAAAATCTAGAAGTCGGGAAATCGGAAAGTCCAGAATTGGGGAAACCGAAAAATTGAAAAGTCAAAAAACTGAAAAATTGAGAAATCGGGAAAGCAAAAAGTCGTGATACCGAAAAATCGAGAAACCGAAAAATTAAAAATCGAGAACTCGAAATGTCGAAAAACTGGAAAATAAAAAAATTTAAAAATCTTAAATTGAAAATCGAGAAATCTGAAATTTTAAGTCGAAAAGTTGAAAAATTGAGAAGTCAGAAGATCGAAAATCGAAGAATTGAAAATTCGAAAATTTTAAAAATCGAAACATCGGAAAGTTGAATGGTCGAAAAGTGGAAAAATGGAAAATTGAAGTTGAAAAACTCAAAAATTGAGAAATCGACAAATCAGAAAATCGAAATGTCGAAAAATGGAAAAATCGAAAAACCGGAAGATCGAAAATTCGAAGAATGTTGAAATCGAAAAGCAGAAAAGTCAAGTCTGGAGAAGTCGTAAATCAAAAAATCGAAAAGTAAGACAAAAAGTTAAAAAATCGCAAAATCGTAAAATTGAAAAGTTGAGAATTCGAGTATCCGGAAATCGAAAGATAGAAAATTCGAAAAACTGAACAATTGAAAAAACGATTATCGAAAAATTGGATAATTGAAAAGTCAAAAAATTCAACAATCTGAAATTTGAAGTTGAAAAATCGACAAAGCGAAAAAAAAAATCGGGATGTCGGGAAAACAAAAAATCGCAAAGTCGAAAAATCTAAAAATCAAAAATCGAAAAGTCAAAAAATGGAGAATACGAAAAATCGAAAAATCGCAGTCGGAAAGTTGAAAATCCCGAAAACGAAAAATCAAAAAATTTAAAATTTGAAAAGTCGATAAATTGAAAAATCGATAAATTGAAAAATCGAAAACCTGAAAAATTGAAAATCGAAAAATAAAGAACTCCAGGAATTGAACAGTCAATGAATCGCAATGTCGAAAAGTTGAAAAATCGAAAAATCGAACCATCGAAAAATCTAGAAATCTCGAAACTGAAATATCGAAAAATCGAAAAACCAAAAATCCGAATGAAAATCGAGAAATGGGAATATTGACAAATCTGAAAAACCGAAAATTTTGAAAGTCGAAAAATCGAATAGAATTGAATTTCAAAAATTTGAAAATTTAAGTTGAAAAACTGAAAAACTGAGAAATCGAGAAATCGGGAAATCGAAATGTCAAAAAATAGGGAAATCGAAAAATAGAAATCACAATAGGAAAATTGAAAATCCCGAAAACGAAGAATCGAAAATTTCAAATTTTAAAAGCCGATAAAAACCAAAAAATTAAAAAATCTAGAAATCGGGGTATTAAAAAGTCGAAAATTGGGGAAACCGAAGAAGTGAAGAGTCAAAAAACCGAAAAATTGAGAAATTGAGGAAGCAAAAAGTCGTGATATCGAAAAATCGATAAACCGAAAAATCAAAAATTGAGAACTCGAAATATCGAAAAATTGGAAATTAAAAAAATTGAAAAGCCGAAATATTGAAAAATCGCACTCACAAAATTGAAAATCGGGAAATGGGAATAACCTAAAAGTCGAAAATTGGAGAAGTTGGAAAATCAAAAAATCGAAAATTGGAAAAGTTGAGAAATCGAAATTTTGAAAAAAGTCAACAAAACTGGACAATTGAAAAATCGAGAACTCAGGATATCTAAAAACCGAGAAACTGAAAAATCAAAATCGAGAACTCGAAGTATTGAAAAATTGATAATTCGAAAAATCCCACTCGGAAAATTGAAAATTTGTATAAAGAATTTAATCAATAAAATAAATTGACTCACTCATTACATTTTATGAGTCACCCTGTATAAAAAATTTAAAAACTTGTAATGCAGTGATGACGACAAGTATAAACTCGTCATATTTTGCACATTTTAGGTAGGAATTTTTCGGCAAAATTTTGAGATGACGTCATAAATTTTTTGGGAGGGCGGTTAACGAATAAATTTTGCTTAACGATTTACCATGATTACGATAACCTTAAAATATTTACAAGATTTCAGAGCAATCGTTTTTGCAGTATTAAAGGTATATTGAAAAATATTGTTATCCAGTTTTTGATTTTTTACAAAAATTCTGGATGTCTAGGGTGAAAATGCGACATGGATTCATATACAAGTGCAGGAGTATCTTATTTTATGAAGTTTAAAAAAACTTTTTATTATAAATTTTGGAAATGACGTCATCCAATTGTTGATGGGGATAATTCACCAAAGTTTATTTAGTATTTAACCATCTACATGATATTTCTAATATACGTACAAAATCGATTACAATACTTCCTTAGCTTAAGCTCGGGAAGTAAAAGGTAAACTTTTGAACAGCTGGATTTGATGTTTTGTACTTATTGAGAGAGGGAACTTCTACCGAAATAATGTTTAACCATTTTTTTTCCAGAAACTTTGCGAAAGTACCCTGTACTTCCATTCCTGGACCGACGATCCAGCGCCGACTACCAGATTCCCGGAACAGATGTCGTTCTGGAAAAAGGTTCCCCGATTTTTGTTTCAGTGATGGGCATGCACTACGACCCAAAATATTTCCCAGACCCCGATAAATACGACCCTACGAGACACAGCGAAGAAAATGTCAAAACCAGACCCTCCTTTACGTATCTTCCTTTCGGAGAAGGACCGAGAAATTGCATCGGTAAGAGACAAATTTTTGGAAGATTTTGACTAAACTAAGGAGTTGTTGTGTTATGTAGGTGCGAGGTTTGGAGCAGTCAGCTCGAAGTCGGGAGTGGCTCACATTTTGAACAATTTTGAAGTAGAACTGTGTGAAGAAACCCAACACCCGCTGAAGATTGACCCGAGAGGATTTTTGGTGGCGCCGATATCAGGACTTCTACTCAAGTTCAACAGGATGTGATAAAATTAGTTTTAATGGTGTTGTTTTTTTGCGCGAGTGACAATGTGTAATTTTATCTTAATGTGTCAAAGTCACCAAATGTAACAAGTAATAATTGTTATTAAGTGTATTTTTCTGTTTTTGTTTTGTTGAAATTTGTGTTATGATTTATAAAGATTGCATTAATAATATTAAGAAAAAGATTAGATGCTATTTTAATGTTTGAATAAGTTTACAAATGTGGACAGGTCGCATTTGAATTCGTTTAATGTCATTGCGATATGACGCAAGGTTATCGGAGTTGTGCGAAAATATAACAACATTAAAAATGATTTTTAAAATAATAAATCATGTTGTAAATTATTTGATACAGTTATAAAAGTGATATTTGTGATTCTGATTCTGATATCTTATACACTAAAATGGTACACAAGGTGTCCAAATTTTTATTATCGCTATGTTTTTGAATTTCTTATATTTATTTTTATTAGTTCCAATTTCAAACAATTGCTTTAATTTATTATCAAGATTTCCTCAGATTTCCTCAAAATTTTTCAAATACTTACAAATCTTTCAAATACTATCATATTTTTCCATTTAGATTCTACCAGATTTTTTATTTTTCTAGATTGTCACAAGTTCCCTCAGATTCCTTCTAATTATTTCCGAATTTCCCAATTTATCTCAAATTCTCTTAGATTCACCCAAATTCCTTCAGATTCTTTAAGATGCTTTCAGATTCTTTCATTCTCTTTCTGATTCTCTTTTTCAGATTTTTTCGATTGTTTCAGATTTTTTCGAATTTTTTCAGAACCTTTCAAAGACACCGTCAGGAATCCTCAAGATTCCTTCAAATTTCTCAGTTCTACTCAGACCATTTCAGATCCTTACAACTCCTTTCAAATCCATGCAGGTTCTTCAAAATTCTTCCCAATTTTTCCAGTTTTTTTAGATTCATTTCGAATTTTCTAAATTCTTCGAAATTCCTCAAAATTCGCTCAGATTCTCACAAGCTTGCTCAGATTCCTTCCATTTCTTTCCAAATCTCCCAATTCCTTTCAGATTCCGATTCACTCAAATTTCTTTAGATTCTTTCCGAATCTCCCAATTTCTCTCAAATTCTCCCAGATCCCTCAAGTTCCTCCAGATTCTTTCAAATTCTTGCATTTTCTTTCTGATTCTCTCCTTCAGATTCTTTCGATATTTTTATTCTTTCGGATTATTCTGGATACTTTTCGATGCTTCCGGATTGTTTCAGATTTTTTGGAATTTTTTCAGATGCGTTCCAAGACACCGTCAGGAATCCTCAAAATTCTTTCAAATTTTTCAGTTCCACTCAGATCATTTCAGGTCCTTACAGCTCATTTCAGATCCTTACAGATCCTTTCAAATCCCTGCAGATTCTTGAAAATTATTCCCAAATCTTTCAGTTTTTTTAGATTCTTTTCGAATTTTCCAAATACTTACTTCGAAATTCTTCAAAATTCGCTCAGATTGTCACAAGCTCCCTCAGATTCCTTCCAATTCTTTCCAAATCTCCCAATTCCTTTCAGAATCCCTCAAATTCTTTCTGATTCAGATTCTCTCAAATTCTTTAGATTCTTTCCGAATCTCCCAATTTCTCTCAAATTATTATCTTAGATTACCTTGAATTCCTCCAGATTCTTTAAAATTCTAGCATTTTCGTTCTGATTCTCTCCTTCAGATTCTTTCGATTTTTTTCAGATGCCTTCAAAGACACGGTCAGGAATGCTCAAGGTTCTTTCAAATTTTTCAGTTCTACTGAGATCATTTCAGATCCTTGCAGATCCTTTCAGATCTCTGCAGATTCTTCAAAATACTTCCAATTCCTTCCAGTTTTTTTAGATTCTCTCCGAATTTTCTAAATTCTTCGAAATTCCTCAAAATTCGCTCAGATTGTCACAAGCTCCCTCAGATTCCTTCCAATTCTTTCCAAATTTTCCAATGTCTTTCAGAATTCCTCAGATTCTTTAGGATTCAGGTTCTCTCAAATTTGTTTAGATTCTTTCAGAATTCTCCAATTTCTCTCAAATTCTCCCGATACTTCAAGTTCCTCCAGATTCTTTCAAATTCTTGCATTTTCTTTCTGATCCTCTCCTTCAGATTCTTTTGAGTTTTTTCAGATGCCTTCAAAGACACGGTCAGGAATCCTCAAGATTCTTTAAAATTTTTCAGTTTTACTTAGCTGATTTCAGATCTTCACAGATCCTTTCAGGTCCCTGCAGATTCTTCAAAATTCTTCCAAATTGTTCTAGTTTTTTACATTCTCTTCGAATTTTCTAAATTTTTCGAAATCCATCAAAATTCCCTCAGATTGTTACAAGCTCCCTCAGATTCCTTCCAATTCTTTTCAAATCTCCTAATTTCTTTCAGATTCATTCAGATTCTTTGAGATTATCTCAAATTCCTTTCAATTCTTTGGGTTTCTTCCAATTTCTCTAAAGTTTTCTCAAATTCCCTCAAATTTCTCCAGCTTCCTTCAGATTCTTTCGATTTTTTTATTGTTTCAGATTATTCCGGATGCTTTTCGATGCTTCCGGATTGTTTCAGATTCTTTGGAATTTTTTCAGATGCTTCCCAAGACACCGTCAGGAACCCTCAAGATTCTTTAAAATGTTTCATCTCTACTCAAATCATTTCAGTTCTTTACACAGTTTTCAGATCCCTGCAGATTCTTCAAAATTCTTCAAAATTCCTCCAGTTTTTTCGACTTTCTTCGAATTTTCCAAATTCTTCGAAATTCCTCAAAATTCGCTCAGATTCTCACAAGTGCTCTCAGATTGCTTCCAATTCCTTCCGAATTTCCCAATTTCTATCAGAATCCCTCAGATTCTTTTAGATTCAGATTCTCTCAAATTCCTCTTGATTCTTTCCGAATCTCCCAATTTCTCTCAAATTCTATCAGATCTCCTCAAATTCCTCCAGATTCTTTAAAATTCTTGCATTTTCTTTCTGATTCTCTCCTCCGGATTCTTTATACATATGTATATTTTTTATTCTTTTGGATTATTCCGGATGCTTTTCGATTCTTTCGAATTTTTTCAGATTCTTTTCAAGACACCGTCAGGAATCCTCAAGATTCTTTAAAATTTTTCACTTCTACTCAAATCATTTCAGTTCTTTATACATTTTTCAGATCTCTGCAGATTCTTCAAAATTCCTCCAGTCTTTTTAGATTGTCTTCGAATTTTCCAAATTCTTCGAAATTCCTCAAAATTCACTTAGATTCTCGCAAGCTCCCTCAGATTGCTTTCAATTCTTTCCGAATTTCCCAATTTCTGTCAGAATCCCTCAAATTCTTTCAAATTCAGATTATCTCAAATTCCTCTTGATTCTTTCCGAATCTCCCAATTTCTCTCAAATTCTCTCAGATTTCCTCAAATTCCTCCAGATTCTTTAAAATTCTTGCATTTTCTTTCTGATTCTCTCCTCCGGATTCGTTCGATTTTTTTTATTTTTTCGGATTATTCCGGATGCTTTTCGATACTTCCGGATTGTTTCAGATTCTTTAGAATTTTTTCAGATGCTTTCCAAGACACCGTCAGGAATCCTCAAGATCCTTTAAAATTTTTCACTTCTACTCAGATCATTTCAGTTCTTTACACATTTTTCAGATCTCTGCAAATTCTTCTAAATTCTTCAAAATCCCTCCAGTCTTTTTAGATTATCTTAGAATTTTCCAAATTCTGCGAATTTCCTCAGAATCCGCTCTGATTCCCACAAGCTCGCTCACATTGCTTCCAATTCTTTCCGAATTTCCCAATTTCTGTCAGAATCCGTCCGATTCTTTCAGATTCAGATTCTCTCAAATTCCTTTAAATTATTTCCGAATCTTCCTTTTTCTCTCAAATCCTCTCAGATTCCCTCAAATTCCTCCAGATTCTTTAAAATTTTTGCATTTTCTTTCTGATTCTCTCCTCCGGATTCTTTCGATTTTTCTTTATTTTTTCGGATTATTCCGGATGCTTTTCGATGCTTTCGGATTATTCTAGATTCTTTCGTATTTTTTCAGATGCTTTCCAAGACACCGTCAGGAATCTTCAAGATTCTTTAAAATTTTTCACTTCTACTCAGATCATTTCAGTTCTTTACACATTTTTCAGACCTCTGCAGATTCTTCAAAATTCTTCAAAATCCCTCCAGTCTTTTTAGATTATCTTAGAATTTTCCAAATTCTGCGAATTTCCTCAGAATCCGCTCTGATTCCCACAAGCTCGCTCACATTGCTTCCAATTCTTTCCGAATTTCCCAATTTCTGTCAGAATCCGTCAGATTCTTTCAGATTCAGATTCTCTCAAATTCCTTTAAATTATTTCCGAATCTTCCTTTTTCTCTCAAATCCTCTCAGATTCCCTCAAATTCCTCCAGATTCTTTAAAATTTTTGCATTTCCTTTCTGATTCTCTCCTCCGGATTCTTTCGATTTTTCTTTATTTTTTCGGATTATTCCGGATGCTTTTCGATGCTTTCGGATTATTCTAGATTCTTTCGTATTTTTTCAGATGCTTTCCAAGACACCGTCAGGAATCTTCAAGATTCTTTAAAATTTTTCACTTCTACTCAGATCATTTCAGTTCTTTACACATTTTTCAGATCTCTGCAGATTCTTCAAAATTCTTCAAAATCCCTCCAGTCTTTTTAGATTATCTTAGAATTTTCCAAATTCTGCGAATTTCCTCAGAATCCGCTCTGATTCCCACAAGCTCGCTCACATTGCTTTCAATTCTTTCTGAATTTCCCAATTTTTATCAGAAGCCCTCAGATTCTTTCAGATTCAGATTCTCTCAAATTCCTCTAGATTCTTTCCGAACCTCCCAATTTCTCTCAAATTCTCTCAGATTCACTGAAATTCCTCCAGATTCTTTAAAAGTTTTGCATTTTCTTTCTGATTCTCTCCTCCGGATTCTTTCGATTTTTTTTATTTTTTCGGATTATTCCGGATGTTTTTCGATACTTCCGCATTGTTTCAGATTCTTTCGAATTTTTTCAGATGCTTTTCAAGACACCGTCAGGAATCCTCAAGTTTCTTTAAAATTTTTCACTTCTACTCAAATCATTTCAGTTCTTTACACATTTTTCAGATGTCTGCAGATTCTTCAAAATTCTTCAAAATTCCTCCAGTCTTTTTAGATTTTTT